GGTCTTTCTACATGGAGACTTAGATGAGGAGATCTACATGACACAACCTATGGGGTTTAAAGCTGCAGGAAGAGAAGATTTGGTGTGCAAATTGAAGAAATCTCTTTATGGACTGAAGCAATCATCGCGACAGTGGTACAAGAGATTTGATAGCTTTATGATTGGCCCTGGGTACACGAGGAGCCCTTATGACCCGTGTGTTTATATGCGCAAGCTACAGGATGGTGAGCACATTTATTTGTTATTGTATGTTGATGATATGCTCATAGCTTCCAGGAACACTTCAGCTATTGGGAAATTGAAAAAGGAGCTGTCATCTGAATTTGAGATGAAGGACCTGGGAGAGGCTAAGAAGATATTGGGTATGGAGATTGAGCGAGACAGGGTGAAGGGGAGATTGAAGCTTACACAGAAGAGTTACTTGCAGAAGATGCTGAAGAAATTCAGTTTTGAGGGTAATACCAAGGTGGTGAGTACTCCATTAGCTCCCCACTTTAAGCTTTCAGCTTTGATGTCACCAGTTTCAGTGGAGGATAGGGACTACATGTCCAAGGTTCCATATGCTAGTGCAGTGGGTAGCTTGATGTATGCTATGGTGTGTACTAGGCCAGATTTGTCACAGGCCGTGAGCATGGTATCTAGGTACATGCACAACCCCGGGAAGGGGCATTGGGAGGCCGTGAAGTGGATTCTACGGTATATTAAGGGTACCGTGGATGTTGGGTTGATATTTGCGAAGAATGATGAGACAGGGCAGAATTGTATTGGCTACGTGGATTCAGACTATGCTGGAGATCTTGACAAGCGTCGGTCCACTACAGGTTATGTTTTTACATTGGCTAGTGCACCGGTGTGTTGGAGATGTACTCTTCAGTCTACAGTGGCGTTTTCTACTACGGAGGCGGAATATATGGCGGTGACTGAAGCAGTGAAGGAGGCTTTGTGGCTACATGGCTTGTTGGATGATTTGGGGATTGCACAGGAGACCATTCAGGTACATTGTGATAGTATGTCAGCTATCTATTTGGCGAAGAACCAAGTCTACCATGCACGCACGAAGCACATTGATGTCAGATTTCACTTTGTACGTGACGTATTAGATGATGGTGATGTCACGTTGGAGAAGGTCCACACTAAGGATAACCCTGCTGATATGTTGACCAAAGTTGTACCAGGTGTGAAGTTTGGTCACTGTTTGAATTTATTGAACATTCTTCGTTGTTGAGGCCGTTGGCGGCCATTTGGATGAACTACGTTCGGCTTGATTCCTTGGGCAAGAGGATACGTAGGCAGTCTTGCAGATGCAGCCGGTTGAAGTTGATTGGGGGTGTTTTGGTATCGGCTCAGTTTTGGGATAAACGTTCGCCGAGGTGGAGATTTGTAGAGTTGGTGAAAAGTCAGAGGTATGCCTCTGGAAGTTGATGTTTTGCGGTCGACCGGCAGTGGTGCTGCGGTCGACCGACTATCGGGTTTTGGGTTTAAGTTGGTTTTCCAGACCCGTTTTCTTTGTAACTTGTATATAAACCCCAAATCTGTTCTAGGGTTTATGCAAGGGAGATTTTGAGCTGATGTTTTGCGGTCGACCGGCAGTGGTGCTGCGGTCGACCGACTATCGGGTTTTGGGTTTAAGTTGGTTTTCCAGACCCGTTTTCTTTGTAACTTGTATATAAACCCCAAATCTGTTCTAGGGTTTATGCAAGGGAGATTTTGAGCTGCCAAAGGGGATTTTCTAGGGCTTCTTTTGTTGGAGTCTATTGGAGAGATCAAGTGATCTTGTTTGAGGGTTTTGGGTAAGATTTGTAACCCTAATTTGTATTCCCCTTTGATTTGATTAGTGAAACTCCCCCCTCCTTGCCCCGTGGACGTAGGCACATTGCCGAACCACGTATATCTTGTGTTCTTGCTGTGATTGGTTGGCTTGTGTCTATTGTGGTCTATTTTGTTCTTGTGTGTGCTATTGTTTTGGCTATTTGGGACTTCCGCGGCGCACAACAGCCTCCACCTCCGCCTTGCTGCAAAATCCTTCACCACCGCTAGAGGCCTCCCCGCTTCCAACTCCATCTCATCGGTCAAATCTCCATCGCCTCCAATTAACTCCAGTTCGCCGCCTCAACAGAAATGTTGCCATCTACATTTATGCTTCAAAGTTTGGATCTTGCTGTTTCTCTAAATGAGGAAGGTATAATCTTTTTTACGAATGATGAATTTGACATGAGTTTTGTGTTAAAATTAATTTTAGTCGAGTAATTTTATGTGGGTATTTTTTTGGTTGGGTAATTTTAACCGAGTAAATTTTAGAAACAGTTACAATTGACCCTTAAATCAAATTAGATTGAGAGTGTACCTGATATTGCTTTAAGTTTGGAGTTGCGTGCTCTAATGATGGACGAGTTGTTTGTCTGTAAATTATAGTAATATATCCAATTAATTTTCACCTGTGCTTTTATATGTTTTGGTTTTTTTTTCTTGCATAATGTGTTGTTCCAGAAGTGGTTTAATATATAGTTTGGTTTAGTGGTGAAGTCCTGATTTTTGTGATTTTATAATTATCCATTTGATCTTAGTATAACAAAGATCCCTCTATAATTCTCAGGTGATCGAAGTTCACCATATCATGTATCCAAATCTATGAATTTTCAGGTGAATCACTCATTTTGAACAAAGTTTAATCATGTCTTTTTTTGGGTTCAAAAAAGATGATAAGTATCAGATATTCATGCGCTGGAGATGACAGAGTTGATTGAATGTCACAATCTCAAGTATCTATCTTCTTTAATCGATAAATAGTTATAAATGTTGTGTCAAACTCATTCAGTTTTAACAAAGTTGAATCATGTCTTTGTCTTTACTTTTTTTCCCTTTTATTTTATTAGAAAATTAGAAAATATGAAGACTTAGATGATTTGATGAATCCGTATCAAAGATGAAGATTATAATTCCAAATTTCCTGCAACTATAAGTTTCTCTCTCAAATGCTCAAAGGTGAGGCTTTTCCCCAATTTTTGCTAGGGTTTTTCTAATTGGTTACACGTTTTTTATACCCAATTTTCTAGGAGATGTTCTTGACCTGCTTGCTATTTATTTACAGATATTCCCTCCTTTCTCTTGCTTTGTTCTTCAATTGTAAGAGTGAAAATGATGTTTGGCATGGAAAATTGGGTAAGAGCATGCCACTCCGATTTGTCGATATCTATTCTTTGCATTGAGATTGAGTATTATGCTATTCATAAATAAACTCATATTCCTTTACATTAATACAATTGAGTTATTGGGGATTTTTGGTCATAAATAAACTCATGCTTTAGTTTAGGTATTTTTAAAGAAAATTATTGGGGATTGCTGAGATTTTTGTGTTATTGTGTAACTGCCCAGTTTGATATTTTTCTTTACAATTATTATTTGTGCAAAAATTAGTTATTTAGTGTGATTCACATATGCACCCATAGAAATGTCATGAGAATTAACTCTCAGATATTTATTAGATTGATGAGAGGAATATTTCCACCTTTGAAGTTAGATTCTCGGTGGATTTCGAACAATATTTAGTCTAAATTTTGTCTACTGCTTAGCATCTCTTCACTCTATTAGACCCTTCAATCATAAGATCTGTATTCACTTAACAACTGTGATTTTTACTAAGTGATAAATAAAAAACTACAGTGATTCACGGAAGATGAGTGTTAGTTAAATTTAAAATGAACTATAACCATCTAAATATTAATTCTTTTTTGAGGAACTTTCATAATGCGGAGAAGTAGAGCTTTTGTAGCTGATGAAGTGTATCTACAATCAAACCTAACAGAGCCTTTTGCTCTCTTTCCACTGAGCCAGGTCACAATAACCGAAACAAACTCAAATAGTATAGCCAGTATTTACACCAGTGCCAGGGGCACTCAGCAGAAAAAGTACAAACTAATGCCAACAAGCCAAAATCATTTAAAACTTGCATACTTTCTTTGCAGCACTCCTTACTATTTGAGGTTAGCTTAGGCAAGACCTTTTCAACAGAAGAAATTAGGTATTTCTTGGGTTGTCCATTACCATAAACAAAATTAAGAAAGATGGAACTTTAGCGGCTAAGCCTGCATATAAATATAGATGTTACATATATACATACATATAGCTTCATCAGTTGAAGCTCTTGTACACATTTTATCCTCAGGTTATGGCCTCAGCATTCCCCCTTTTCTTTATCTTTTTTCTGTTGATAACTACAGCATTTTCTTTATCTGTTGCCCCATATTATGAGCCTAATTTGCTGGCCTAATCCTGGCCTGCAAGCTCATGTTCATAACCCAAGATTGCCCTTTCTTATACCTAGCCAAACATATTACAAGGCATAACAACTTATCAACAACTTTTTGTTAGAAATTCTTGTATTGAATGTAATCTTTCAGTTATAAATTCTTAAATGTCCTAGAGTAATTGTCATATTAGAATGTAACAAATATGAAAGAGTACCAATCATGTCATAGGGTTCACGACAACCAATATGATCTCTAAAGTGTCAACACTTATATTATAGCTATATTAATAATTTCTTTTGTGGTTTCATAACAGATGTTGAAATGCATGGCACGCAAATCAGTTCCCAAACCATATGAGTTTAAAACTTTTACCAAGGACAAAAAAATTATTGAAATTTCATCAAGTGACGATGAAGACGAGCAGAAAAAGATGTTAAATATGGGTCACTCAACCAACAAACAAGCAATTGGTACTTATAGCAATAGTTTTATTAGTGCTACAAACTTAATTGTATCTTTTGCAAAATAGAATTACAATTCAAGATTATTGGTATTTAACTATGTTCGCTCAATAATTTCTATTTTGCAAAATGGAAACTATTAAAGCAAGGTACACTTCACTCAAACTTCATGTGTATTGTAGTTTCTATTTTGCAAGCATTTATCTATATCTCGAATAGAATGTTGTGAACAGATAGGCAAATAATATGTCCCCAAGTCCTAGAGCAATCAGCCGCATTTTTGGAGATGACTAATCCATGTGAATCCCTCTAACTCTTTGTTCAAGTATTTTTGTATTTGTTGAAACATCTGCTTAAACAATATTTATGAGGCATAAATAGGAATATCTTCCCCAAGGCTTATGCTGCTTACAAATAGTTGAAAATTTGAACAGAATTTACTAAATACAAATATGCACTGCTGATAGTATGCATTATACAAACAGTCCCTGATGGATAGAGATTTAGATGTTAAGATAAGTGGTTGTTGAATTTCTTCAAATTCTTTGTAGGCCTTATTTTTCAGTATCTACTTGTACTTTATAGATGCTTGATTCTCGGGAAAAGTCTCAGTTGATGATCTTACTAAATTGTAGCCCTTGTGCTTCCTGAAAATTAAGTGAAACATAGTTCTTTCAAGTATAATGTCCTATTGAATCTCAAGTAAATACTAACTTTCTTCTTCATATTGGCATGGTTTTTCTTAGCTTCTTTATTTTAAACTATGATTATATAAGAGAATGCCCATGTCACATAGTAAAGAGGAGTGTCCCTTTGCATGTGGACTTTATGTAAATGAGGGTTTTGTGTTTCTCGAAGTGGGTGATTTGTTAGGTTCAGATAATTTCAAGAAATTCAAATCTTGCTACAAAATGATTCTATTTGTGTTCCTTTTTTTCCTTCTAAAACTGCAAAGTCTTACTATGTACACGTGTGACTTGCTAGGAACTCCTCATTTAGGTCTTAAATAGGACATTGATATTAGGATCTTCAGATTAGATAGCGACATATTACATATATGAATAGGTTAGAATATTTTATAGCATTCATGTATGCTTCATGTACATGCATTGCAGTTGGACTAGCCATGAATGAATTGCACTACCAAATTAAATAATTAACCTTAAAAGGTATTAAGGACATAATTTAAGCTCATGAATGATTTAAGTATGATACTTTGGTTGTAGTGTGATGCTAGGATGCTTTTTTGTTCTTTGTTCTTCATCATATTATTGAAATTTATCTTATTTATGCATAGTTTAGTCAGTTTTGTACACTTTGATGATTGTGAATGGCCTGATTGTTACTGCAGATGGTCATTGAGAACAAGTATGAAGATGATGAATATGCACAAGAGTTTGCCATCAAGGTCACCAAGTAGCTGCTCTATGTTGCAGCGAGAGTCCTTCCTCCACCAATGGTAGTTATTTGATCTGCAATTGCTTTGTTGAATATCAAAGTGAAAATATTAAATTGTCATTTTTTTTTTCATGTTCACCTCAACATGATTCTGGAAAAGAGAAGACATGCAGTCCAAGAGTGGGCGCGTGGAATATTATCAATAAGGTAAAATTCTCCTTATTATTTAGAACCAGTGAAAATTGTTCTTTTGTTTCGGGGATTGTTAATAATTGTAGAAGACTTCTTTGCTTTTTTGAGTACCAGGTGAAAGTCATTTTTTGGTTACTATAGATGGTTAATATTTGTATATTAAAGTCCATTCTTCTATCATGAAAATATTAATTTCTAGCATTTAAATTCTTTTTCCAGTATTTGTATATTAAAGTCCATTCTTCTATCATGAAAATATTAATTTCTAGCATTTAAATTCTTTTTCCAGTATATCAACACAGAATATGTTTCGTCTATCATGAAAATATTAATTTCTAGCATTTAAATTCTTTTTCCAGTATATCAACACAGAATATGTTTCGTTGTAGCGTATGTAAGATTTTGGTTTTTTTAATGATTCTATCATATAAAGAATCTCTTTAGCCATCCTACCCCGTACTTCTTCAACCTTTCCTCTTCTTACACACAATATGAAAACAATATAAAAGAACTAATATAGCTAAAGAGGTTTTATTGGTGTTCTCGTCTCTGATCCTTGGCTTTAAATCCAATTCACCCAAGTGGAGCTAATGAGCTTCAATTCCAAATTAAGTTATTGAAAGGAAAAAAAAAAATTCTTCTTTCATTAGATTCAATGTCAAAGTTTGTGCACCTTGGTTTGGTACTTCATTCTTCACTCTTCTAATTAGGTGTAATTTGTCAGTTCCTCTCTACAAAGGGTGAAACAGGACAAATCATAGTAAAAAAATGCCGCCTCTAATGGCAAAGTTGTAGGGTCTTAATAATGTGCTCACCGAGGAAGATATCTCCGCACTCCTAGCCGAGTCAAATCTTAACACAAGCAAGGAGATAGATTTAGAGTCATTTCTTCGGGTATTCTTCTTTTTCCTTTATCCCTGTGATAGTTTTTAACAATTTCCTATTGAAATACTATTTCTTATCATTGGATTATAAATTAGATTTGAAAAAGTGGAAATGTTGAAATCTACGGGCCTATTTGAAATCTACAGGCCATTAGATCCATATACCAACGGGCTATTTGACCTTGCTAAGGATGGAGTGCTCTTATGGTAAGTTGTTTGTAGTCTTGCTGAACTCTCTCTCTCTCTCTCTCTCTCTCTCTCTCTCTCTCTCTCTCTCTCTCTCTCTCTCTCTCTCTGTTGTTGTTAATTTCCATATTGTCGTCTTTTTATTTGTATGATTCTTTCCTTTTGATGGTTGGGAATTTATTTTTCAATTTTAATTGCCAATTTGCCAATTTTAGTAGGAAAAGAGAAATTATAGATTTTTTATGTAGAATTAGATTCCCGCATCGGTCTCAATAACTTTTTGTGCCATTTCTTAAAATTTGCATAGTAAATGGATAAATTGATAAATGTGATTGTTCCGGGGACAATAGACGAGAGGGCTATCAACACAAAACAAGAGCTGAATCCATGGGAGAGGAATGAGAATCATGCTCTTTGTTTGAACTCTGCGAAGGCTATTGGGTGCACTGTTGTCAATATTGGAGAACAAGATATTGTCGAAGGGAGGGTAAGACTGAGTACTAGCCTTTTACTTTTTTGGTTGGCGAAAAATTGTTAAATGAGGCATATCCAAATTTGTCCTTATAAATCCAAAAGACTTTTGCTATTTCCTTTAATGCTTTCTTTGAACAAATCCAGTTCAGCTGACCTGTGTCCATTCCCTTTATTTGCAGCCTCATTTGCTACTCGGGCTGATATCTCAAATAATCAAGGTACGTACAGAACTTGTTCTGTATTCTTTACATATAAGAAGATAATAAAGGCCTGCATATTAGAAAGAGATTTGGTGCATTCAGCTGGATCACAGCGATATTCTTTCAGTGAGGTTCATAGTTTGGTTTTGGGTCAGGATGATGAGTTGAATATTCTTGTTTGTATGCACATTCTCGCTACTAACTTATGGATTTGTGGTATCTTTAAGTTTCATGGATTTGATCAGTTGGAAAATGTGAATACAGGTATCACCCCTATGTTTCAAATACTATGGCTTATTGGATGGGATGATGAAGGGTTAAAACATTTTTCTTGCAATGATAGAGGGTGTGAGTGATTATTTTGGATGTTCAACCAAATTACAAATAAATGTGAGTGATATTAAACATTTCAATTGAAACGGAAGTTTCAGTTATCTCTCTGAACACATGAAGATGAAAAAAACATGAATACTGTTTCCAATTTAATTTACAAATTTTCAAACAAAACAATCGATCAATATTAGAAGCTCTTGTTCACAATTTTGTAACCTTTTGAACCTGTGTGAATCAAAGAAATCTTTTTTTTCCCTATTCAACTCTAAACCTTAACATTTTTAAAAATGCAATAACTTGGTAACATAATTTTTATTATTGCAGCTGGTCGGGTTGAGACTGGGGTTTGTCAATATCAGTGATCTATTTTTTTTAATTAGGTGGTATAATAAGGCCTTAATTTTGGTTATATCCATGTGTTTCTATTAGGTGGTATAATAAGGCCCTAATTTTGGTTATATCCATGCGCTGGTAAAATATCAGGATGTTGTCTTCTGCTAAAATAAATCATCACCTGAGGATTATGAAATTCTAACCATACTGGTCAAAGAGAAAACATGTGGAAGATAACTAATAGATTTTATGATTCAACACTGAAAGAAATTTGCACGTGATATCACCATCACATATATTGTTGGAAATTAACTTCCCCTGAATGTTTTCCTCATGAGTAGCCAAGGCAAGAGAACTCATTAAAAAAAATTCAAAACCGGCCACTATCCTATGAGTTTGAATAAAGCTTTGCAAGAAAGCTTTGCGTCATAGCATGCACCTGTATTATCTTCGGCTCAAATGTCAAGTTCCAAAATCCAGGCATGTAAGATTGAAATTGATGATTTCAATCATGTCCTGATGAAAAAAATGTGAAACCTGAAATTTCTATGCACATGAAAACTTATTTAGTGGATGATTGTTTAAAACTGCAAGCAGTTAGCATATATTCTATGTGAAGAATGTATTTAATTAATAAATAATTATAAAATTGGTGAGTGAAAAATCACTTGACCTTTAAATATTTAAACTCTTGTAGTTTCATAATATGCATCACGTGCAACGCACGTATGGCATACTAGTTCTTCTAAATAGGAGTATTAGTAAATCCCTCATTATGAGGGGTTAACTCATTTTAATCTCTCTAGAGGCCGGGTTAGCTTAATCCTTCTATATTTTTTATGTTTGGCAAATTATGGAGGGTTAACTCACTTTAACCCTTGTATAGATTTTTTATGTTTGGCGGGTTAAGAATGAGTTAAGACTCCTTAACCCCTCACTTAACCCTTTGTCAAACAGTATCATAAGAATCCTAAAGAAATTCACTCAATGGGTATATCTGCACTTAAGGCAACATGAGTCTATCCGCACCAATAAAACTACATAGGATCTATCCGCAACTGGGTGACAATATAGAGGGTTGTCTGCAATTAATCATTTTTAATTATGATTAACTTCCAGACGGCATTCAACTAATTATTATGCTCTAATATATTGTGTATTACTTTTGTAAAAATGATTAGAGCTGGGTTTTAGTTCACTTTAACTTATTCTATGAAAAGTTACCTTTTAGAGAAAATTAGGTAAGTGGTTATTTGTTTGGATTATTCATTTAGGATAATCAAACTTTTTGTAAGGTTATCCATTTATTTAGTTCTTGAGAGTAAAGAAAAATGTCTTTTTACTCAATTATATATACAGGAGAAATATCTAGCCTGATTAAATTAAAATTATCAAGACTTGGAAAGAAATTTCTCTTCTTTCGTGATGAAAGAAAAATATTTCAAGGTTCATTACAGGTTAGCCACTTCATCTAGCTCTCTACATATGAGAAAGAGATAAAAAAATCATTCTCGTTTATTTAAATCTTGAAAAAAAAATTCTCCAAGTATAAGGGAAGACCTGTATCTTCTCCTGCTAGAAATATTATTTACAGTGAAAAACAAACTCATCTATCTCAAAATTCATGCCTCCTGTCTAAATTCAGTATCTCTGTATGCCATTTCATTTACATCAACTTCTGAACTCTGTCTCGGGCTCGAATGAGGCTTCACAGATCCATCAACAGAACAACATTTACTCTCACGACGATCTTCAACAATCCATAAAAGTACCATAATGACCATAATAGTCGACAGAGCAACAAATGCTGCCCACGCAATGTGCACGTGTTTCTTCAAAGGTTTGCATTCTTCGAACAAAATCTTTGAAAATGCATCCTTTACCAACTTGCAGTCTACTAAGCTCTCCATACCGGGATAAGCATCAACTATTTCTTGAATTGAGCTGGTATATACAACTGCTTTGTTATAATTGCCAGCTGATATGAATTCTCCTTGTTTACATGTTTCATTTGAGCATGAATATGCTTTTAGTAACTTCAAAAAGAAATAAAATGTATTAGTATTCAATCTTGATTATAAATGGAAGAATAGTGAATAAATTGGATTATTGCTTACTTGGGGTATGTTTCCTATTTGAATTGTATTGGAAGAACAATTCTCTGGCTGGTAATTGTAATCAGGTGGCCCTGAGAATGGATTGCAGATGTATTCTACACCTTGTTGTGATAATGATTGCAGGCTTGGTATGTTTGCATTTACCTGCAAATTATGCGATGTGAATAAATTAACGATATACTATTGTTGATAGATCATATGCCGGAGGTTTCAACATCATGTGAAAATGAATGTACAGGCTTATGTGCAAATGCAAAAAAAGAAGGATGAAATATCTATAAAAAGTCTATTTATTATCTTCACATTGATGAATTATCAAGAATGATTACTGGATAAACCATCTTAGGAGACAAAATTCATGGTAGTCCATGCTGGGGAAAATATTATCTTAAAGATAGAGGGAAATCAAATTCATCGATTCAGTTTGAAATATTACATCCCAAGTCCATATGAGAACTAGATCTTATGTTAATGTGCATTGGAAATTGTTTGGTTGCCGATAATATCATGACAGTGGAGGAGTTTACTCAATGGAATATTTTAGCAAAACTTTTAAGGCTTTGACCATAATTATGTTCAATACCTGATCAACTATATTGTGGATTCCTGCTCCAACATCATGCAAAGCTGTCTTTGCTGAAGTTTGATCATTACATGGCAGAATCGAGCTTAGAGTGCTGTTTCTTGGATCTTGCCTAAATTCATCAAGAGCTGCACAAGTATCGCCAGCAAATCTACGAGAATGACAAATTATTGCTTCAGTATTATTTCGTCACAGAAAACAGATGATATCAATGTCGATAATGGAAAATATCTTACTTGTTCAGAAAATAGTACAATCCAAAATATACCCAGAAGAGGATTATCAATACCCAACATATGATGATAAGCCTGCAAGAGAACAAATTTCATTTAATATGATTCCGTTTTAAAAAGTGATACTATAAGAATTTTCTGCTTAACTTACATATGAAAAATTCTTCGGAGTCTCAGAAAAGGCCCTGATACTGAAATAGCCAAAATAAAATAAATAAATAAAAATTAAAAAAATTACATTTGAAAATTAGGATATCTCAATCTTTTATATTTGGGATAGTTTCAGTTACCTAGTAATCCAATAACAGCAACCAAGTTTACTGAAACTGTGACTATAGTCACCACATTCCTGAAAAAAAAAATACCAACACATCAGTTTTCATGACTCGATACATTCTTAAATATAGAGTAAAGCTTGAATAGGCTCAAGTGGACCGAGTACTTTGTTCACAAACTTTTTCATCTATTGGTTATGATTTGAGATTCTTGTTGATGTGTACTACACATCAATGTTATCTTTGAGATACGCGCCTTGATGTGTATCACAAACCTACATGACTCTCAAAAGGAAAATTAAAGATCAAAAAGTTGGAAAATGGAGCTGTTGGTCCACTTAAGCTTATTTTAGCGTTACTCGACAAACACATTTCTACTGTCTGTAAACTTTTACTCACAAAATTTTAAGACCCTTATTGAGATAATGCATAGTTTTTCCAGCCTTTCTCTCAATACGATCAGCGTCTCCATCAAGCCTTTGCAATGTAGAATTAAGCCGTCCGGATCTATCTAATCTCCTGTAAATCTGTGAATCATTTTGCATTGCCTTGACAGCATCTGTGACGCTATAAATAGTTCCTGAAGCATTATTTGCTGCATCAAGGATAATGTTCTTGATTATTTTGGCTCTCGAGTTGAATCCAACGCTACCACTGAGTGCTACTCCAGATGCAACTCTGTAACATAGAGAAAATAAATGTTACTGGATGAATGATCTTTTTGTTGAAAGATGGGTTAATTGCATACAAACCCCCAGTAGTTAACCCCATAGTTTCTTTGTTGCAGACAGACCCCCGGCTTAAATTTTTTTATCTTTTTACCCCTCAGATGGACTCACTAATTTCACCCAGAGGCAATACCTGCCAAAATTTAACCCAGGGGGTCAAGCTGCAACATGAAACTACAAGGGTAGCAAGTTGAAAACAACGATACTACAGGAGGTCTGTGAGCAATTAACCCTTGAAAGAATGATGCTTACATAGCTAGAAGAGTGAGAATAATTGCGAGGAGAACAGGCCAGAGATTGTATTTTCTACTGCAGAGAAGTTTCTTGTTCTCTTTTCTTTTCCTTCTCTTGTTGCAGCAAAGAGATGTAACTAGTAGAATTATAGCGTAAATTAGGCCAGCGATGAGCCATAGCGCTGCAATGATGTATCCAAATTTTCCCGTAAATATTGTGGACTGAAAAAAAATTGAACAATTTGTGAGAAAAATTCAACAGTCATAATTTTTATTAAGATAGTTTTGTTATCCTTTACTCACTTCAGTTGCAGAAATGAATTACTTTTTGTAAAATTGAATCGCGAAAAGATGTACTTTTGCAACTGCAGTTACAATGAAACAAATGGCTGACAACTCTATGAATGCAACTTGTTGTATGTCCATTTTTATTCTCATTTAATGTGATTTTGTATAAGTTCGAAAGATAGAAAGAGGTGTTCTTACACTCCAATAATGCTTGTTTGTAATATTATATCCTCCTCTATACTTCTTCAAATCATTCAAAGGATCGACTCTTTGTGTTCTAATCGTCAATGCAGATATTGTATCATTTTGAGCTTCAACCAAAATTCTATCTGCAAGAAGTACCCCCAAAAAATAAAAATTAGTTAAGAGTCTAGAGAAGTTTATTAGTTCTATCAATCAACTAGTTCATATTTCAAATGAAAGCTTCAACATCAGAATGAAACAGCACAAGCTTGATTAAAATTATTTTTCTTCTCACCTGTTCCAACTTGCAAATTTGTTCTGCGATATCGATGAGTTTTATGAGCATCAACTTCTCTGAGCCCAAATCTGAAAATGACCACCAATATGCACAGAAATAACACCACTCTGTCGAACTTTAGACCCGTCTTCATTATCTGTTATGTCAATATAATAGATTAGAGGCATTATATAGTAGCTAGCAATAAACTATTTGCACTACTATTTTTTTAGTTATTTATTGTTATTATTGTATTGAAGTAGAAAAATGTGGACCAACTTAGTAAAGGTCCATAAACATGTGCAGTATCTTTATCAGCATGACTGCATTAAGACCAGGTAGTAGCTAGAAATTAGTTTACTTTTAGCCATTGGAGGATCCAATATAATTGACAATTGCAATTTGCAAGGGGATGCAGAGGAACAAATAGACTTTATTTGCACTTTTAATCTGAAAACTGATCTTTCTCCGGAAGCTGCCCAGATTGTTGTTAATTGTTAAGAAATTTCAGGTCAAACTGAACAGAGATCATGAATTATAGAGGAAGGTATTGTATTAGTCATCTTCGGCTTCGAAAATTTTGTATATTGTTCTCATCTTATTCGCTTAAGAATGCACTTATTAACATAATTGAATCTACCATTTTATAACTTTCAATGTATTAAAACAAGTTTTTGAAGGAAATAATATTCTTCTAGATTAGTAGAGGACGACTAAGAGATTGATAACCACCAAAATGGTAAGAAATTGGAATCAACTAATCAGATAAACAACAAAATGATGGTGGCCAACATAAATAAAGAGTTAAGGGGAAAAAAAAGAAGAAGAATCAAGTGAGATAAATGATACGTAATTACATAAATGCAATCTATTAATTTAGCAAAAGGCTAAGGGAAAGTGGTGATGAATATAGTATTCCCTACCTAACAATCTAAATATCGTTCTTCTCATTAAAATAAAATTTAAAAAAAAGAGAGAAAATAAACAACAACAAAGAGGAGAAAGAATAAGATACCGAAAGAGAATTGAAACATACCAGCATCACTAAACTCAAGCAACCCCAGAACAAAAGAATTGTGAACGGCTTAATTCCTTCAAATATGTTGGCTCAGCATGCAGAACTGTATAAAGACTTTGTTCAACTGTCAAAATTTCTCCAAAATGTAAATAACCCAAGTCTCGAAATTCAACAACCAACCTCTGGAAGTTAAGTGTTTTCTCACAAACACGGGTCAAACACAAAATCTATACGTAAGAAAACCCATATCTTCTAGATTATATGAACATAGACATCTCTCTCTCTATATGCACCGTATATTAATATATTAATATATATTAAATGCTTTTTTTTTTTTGAAAAAAAAATCTGCAAATGGTTTTCTTGCTGAGTGGGAAACGGGTAAATGAGAAAGCTCTCATGCATCCTAAGAATGGAAAAAGAAAGTTTAATAAACTTTACAGTATTATAAATGGTCATTTGATCAACTCTTTTTCTATTTTCTATGCTTAACGTGTGAAAGGAATAGAAAATAGTATGCAAATTCTTTACTTTTGGCTTTGAAGGCTTTAAGCGACTTGGAAATCGGAGGAAGAAAGAGTGGAAACATAAAGAATGATAGTACAAAGGGCTTTTACCAAATAGACCCCTTGGTTTGAGTATATTTGACTTAGCTTGCTTTTGCGGTATCTAAATGCACCAAAATAAGAAACAGCGACAATATTACCGTTAAGAACTAAAAGAACTTAGTTGGAAGCAATTTAAGGGTACCGTTTCGGGGTTGAAAAAAAATCCAAATATTAGAAAGTTGTCACATATGCTATGGCATATTCTCGAGGGGGCTCTATTGTAAAAATACCCAAGAAGACAAAGAGAGAACTCTAAACCACACGCGTCCCTTTGCAATGAAGGAGAAGGTCAACTAATCTAACTCGAACCATGAGTGCATCGATCAGGAACGCCGCCGTTAAGTAGGCAGAAAGTCAGACACAGATGAAGAAATACAGGGCCCCTACTTCACACTTTCAATGGACAGTCTACTTTTTACGTTTGACCAAAAACATGGGAACATTTGAAGAGAAACCTTATAGAGATCGTAGAAAATCATGTAAAAAGTTAGTAGTAAAACTAGAAACACAATTATTATCAGCTCTGTCCGTCGCGGGTGGCTCGGACAGTTAAAAAGGTTCCAATATGGCTCTTACGGTCTTGGGTTCCGGAGTGTGTTATCCACCAAAAAAACAAAAAAAAAATCAGAAAATCAAACAACTTAGGCCAGTACAATCAGCAGAGAAACTGAAGACAGGTGCGATCAACATAAACCAGTACGAGCGAGCAGCTAAAACATCGATTGGAAAATAACATGTAAATCACCAACATTTGTTTGTTGAGTGGATGGAGTTTTGGCCTACCACGCTTCTCACTTTGACCCGCAGGCGCTCATTTGTTAAGTTTTTATTAAAGGTGAGCTCATCTCTTATGCGAGCAAACATCAGTGGTGTGACCTTGTTCTGTTCTTATTTGGCTCCTGTGGCTGCTGTTGCTTGCGTTGTTTGAATTGTTGTTTTTTTTTTAAGCTCCCACATTCGGAGGGGACACGCGCGCTCATTGAGCATCACGTGTGTCGTGATCCAAACAACGACCAGATTACGTCCACGTATGAGGCCTGTAATATCTTTTCACCTCTCATTTTCTTTTTAATGATCTTGATTTGATTAAGAAAAATGCCCCTCGAGAGGAGCCCCGATAGAAAATCACACACGGGGAGGACGGAGAACTCAAATCATTTTAGAGTTGATGATTATGTAATATCATGATTAACTGTTGATACTGATAATTACTAAATACGTTGGTATTATGAATTGATTGTACTCATTTGAAACTAGCGGCACGACACGTGTCAAACTTTACTTGGCCTCAAAAGTCATTCAAATGATCATCCATCTTGATTCACATGACCAAGTCAATTTAAACTTTTTACATGGCTTGACGGAGGGTCAAACCATGACGGATTCACCCCAAATTTGGTGTGTTAGGGTTTTAGAATATGTAGATCAAGTTCAACGGAACAGATCATCCACAATGTAGCTCAATCAAGTGATCATCAATGACTAAGAAACTTAGTGGACGTCCACTTAAGTTGACACAAGTTTTACTCTATATGAGTAAAACTTACTTTAAATCTTTATTTTTTACCTTCGAATCACAATCATTTTCTCGTCCACAAAAAATAAAAAAATGAAAGTAAAAAACGAAAAATAGAACAAGTACACCCACGCGCACATGTGCATCACACGGATACTTACTAAAACATGTCACTTGAACCAAAAGATCACACTGCAAGGAATACTCACAGAAATTCTCCCTTGCCATAAATGGGATATCTGATCTGGGTAGTAGCAGTCGTTGGATAACAGGTTAATAATACTATGTTTACTTTTCCTTTCCAATTCGTTATTGCAACTAATAACTATATAATCCAGTGGATCCGGGACTTTCCATATCCTTGCCAGAAACATTTAAATCCGTACATAATCATGTACAACAGATCCAGCACCTGGCCCTTGAAAAATAACAGAAAAACATTTAAGGAACAATTGCAGCTTTTGATTCACCAACCCAAGAAAACATAAAAAAAATAAAAATAAAAAAAATAAAATAAAAAACTAAGCTCAAGGGATATACACTTATGAACAGGTAAGTTTATTTTCTTTCCAGAATCCTGCTCTTACAGAACAAACTACATCTATCTGATGCCTAAAAGAACTGACTACTACATAAGGTCATAATACTGCACAAGGTTATATGTACCTAAAACATGAACTAGGCAACAAACTGAATGAAGACAGGGGACTTTTTCTATCTACTTATTGGAAATTGAACTTGGGCCTCGCAAGGCCGATGTGTGATTTCGACTTCCATACCATATGGAACCCTAATTCTTCGATATTCTGTCTCCTCATGTTTGAATAGGGAGGATGGAGGCTGCCAGCTCTTCGTTTATCTTCACTGGAAAGGGTGGCATCTGCTTCATGACTTCAGGCATATCATTCATACTGCAAAGATAAGTTCGGGATTAGATGGAATATTAGAGAGAGAATCCCCTCTACAATAGTTTGGCCCATTTTGAGTTAACCCCCAAAAAAGTTTGGAAATGTTAACCCCCAAAACTTCTCAGATTAACCTCCAAAGGTTAGGGGCATCTGAAAATATATTCAGACAAAAGCAAAAGTTTTGGAGGATAAGAACATTTCCAAAATTGTTAAGGGTTATCTCCAAATGGGTCAAACTTCTTGGGGGTTTTGTGAAAGTTACCCCAGAACGTATATTAGCAATGAGCAAAGTGATTCCTTGAGACAAACAGACCACAAACAACGAGCAAAGTGAAAGAAATTCGATGGTGACACCCCCTAGAAGAGCAAATAGAAAGTAGAATGCAAACTAGCAATTTTAATTTTGATCTTATTATTGACTGAAATGGTTTGTATATTGATTTAAAATGATTAGTGCACACATGCTATATTCTGCTTTCTCTATATGATTCTTCGAAAGAGGGCCCTCTATCGAACAATTTTTTTTTGCAATTTTTTTTTTGCTTGAGCAAGTGGTAGACAGCCTGTGTACTTATCTAGGCATAACCGATGGTATGTATCATAATATATATTTGATGATTGGTAAAACAACATGAAAATAATGGAGAATAGAAGAATCTAAATGATCTTGAATTGTAGACCAGAATTATGAAATTTGGGTATATTCAGAGGCCAAGCCAAATCTTTTTTATTAGTAGTATGGATGAGTCCTGGGTTTTCCAGTTACAAGTAAATAGAAAGATCCCCGACTATAGGTAACAAGATGAATTTGCAACCGAGAGAAAACCATGAGCGGAACTTCAAAAAATCGTAAGGTAATAGCTTACTTCACTTGGGACGAAGCAGGCAATCAAAAGTTCAATGAAGGTCGCCAAAAATGTTTCAACGAATTTTCTCCATCCAGGGAAGAGGGCACGGGCCTTCACCTTATTCATGTGAGTGAGGAGGGAAGTTCGTAAATACGACCAGTCAGTAGACGCTTTCTTCTTGTTGAAAGAGTTGTTTATTCCTTATTGTTTAGTCCCACATTGGTTAGGGACAAATTCTTTTGTTTCTCAAAACACTATTAATAATATCCAAGATAGAGCTAATAATCTCTCTAGGGTTTCACATTAACATGGTATCAGAATCACCCTCTCTGCTCTCTAATTTTTAATTTTCTAAACCCCAGCCGCCACCCTCCTAAACCCTATAGGCGTCAAAAATTGCCTATAGGTCCCAAACACAGCTCAAGACTGAGAGAAAACGAAGAACGTCATCATCTAAGTTAAAAAAGAATAGCCAATGCAAAAAGAAGCAAAGGAGCACGCAAAACGACAACTCAAAGGGACTCGGAGTTGTCTCACAGTTGGTGAGACGGTCTACACTATCTCGCATAGCCGAGATAGTGTAGACTGTCTCGGATACGCGAGACAGTGGTAACTGTCTCGCTAACTGCGAGACAAACTCCCCTGATTTCTGACGGTTTTGTGACTTTTGTGGGGTCCACGTGGCTCCATAACTGCGGGGAAACGTTCATTAACGTTAATGGACAGTTATAGCCGTGAAATACGCCCACTACCCACGAAAAATTACGGCATCTAACGTAATTTAAGTAGTGGGACGGCAGTTACAAACCGGCTAGAACTGTCTCCTTTAACCAAGACAGTAAACACTGTCTCGCCCAAAGGAGATAGTGATCATCAGTTGTTTCAACTTCTTTTCGACGATTACGGTTTCCAATGGCTATAAATACCCCTTGACACACTTATGGACGGGCACTGACGTACTGATGAAGCATTGAGCACAAAGCAGAGACAAACTTTTGGCGAACTTGGAGAGCAAGAGAGAGAGTCGTATTCCACTTTCAAGTAATTTCAAGAACCCTTCGGTATTTCCTCGAGTTCAAACTTAGATTTGACCTTTAGAAGAGTATTTATCTTACTTTGCTAAGATATTTGCTTCTGTTCTTGTTTCCACATCGAAACATCAACGTCAAACCTTCTCCGCATCCGACTCGGATCGTTGATTCAGTGGTCCACGATTACGCATCCCCGATACAGGCAAAGATTCCACGCAAGCAGGAGCTACTACGTAGAAGTTTTTGCGTGTGTTTCTACAGAACACCAATTATTTTGTTTTTAATGTAAAGAGAAGTTTAACGCGTGTAAGGCTCACTCTTTTATTTCCGTTAAAACATTTGTAATGGAATCTGCAATAAAAATTGTTCCCAACGCAAACAAACCCCAGCCGCCATCTCTACCCTTCTTAAATCCTAGCTGCCACCCTCCTAAACCCTAGCCGTCACCTTTTACCCCTCTTAAACCCTAGCTGTCACCCTCTGCCCTTAGCCGCCAATCCTAGTCGCCAGCACTCCCGACGACGTTACTATTCCGCAGGTTACTGGTCATCAAAGATACTGCTTGTCCAAACCAAACCTTACATGATCAAGCTAATCATTTGGCTTAATTAACTAAATCTTTATAGATCTTAAGCTAATCATTCGGCATAACTAACTAGATCTTTGTAGATATTTAGCTAATCATTTGGCTTAACCAACTAGATCTTCCTTGATCTTAAGCTAATCATTCGGCTTAACAAACTCGACCAAGCTAATTATTTAGCTTCATCTTAACAATCAGTCATTAAAAATCTCTTTGAGATTAGCGACAAGTCATTTTTTTCATCGAAGAAACCAACAGTGTAGGATAGTTTTAATTGGTAGATTGATTGCTTGTTGTAGGGGTGCTTACTTATTGATGATTTGATTATTGGAGATTGATTTGTTTTTGGGTAAGTTGATAGTTATTTGCCAGAGGATTATTAGTTGAAGGATCTTACTTGTTGTGTTAACTTTCCTACGTGGACGAGAGAGTTGAAATGAAGACCCACACAGAGGTGCTCTCTAGTAAGATCTTTGACTAGAAATTGAATAGGTCCAATTACCAATTTTGAAAGCAATTTAGTTATGTTTCAGGTCGAGGAAAGGATCATCATCTTATAGATGACCCCTGTGCCAGCTACCGCCTCCTAAAAACAGGAGGACACTGGTCTACTTCATCAAATTTGAAACAACATAGAACCACATGTCTTTCAGCCATCAATTCATTGTAATACAGTGAAAAAAATGTGGAATTTTTTGGATGAATTCTACTCAGGCAGTGGGCATGCCAATTGGGCATATGATGTCATTAAAGAATTATTTTAGAGCAAGATGGATGAGAAGAGTCAAATTTTTGAGGAGCACTATGATAACTTCAATTGCCTCACGGAGGAGCTAAGACAGATGTTCCCCGTTATAGGGGATGTTCAGAAGATGTAGGACCAGTGAGATCAACTGATGGTATTCACCTTTCTTGGTTCTCTTCCACAGTCTTATGATTCAGCAAGACCACAGGTTATTGGAAGCTCTGGTATATGCTCTTTATTTAGCAAAGAAATATTATTTCTTAAGATAAGCAGTGCAGGCAGCACGAGTAAGTACCACAGCAGAGTTTGCCAACAGGTTTGCTCCAGTCATACAAAGTAGATAGTTGACCAGTCAAGGAGATGGTTGTGGTGGAGGCCGCTTTGGAGAATGTGGAGGACGCTTTCGAGCATATGGAGGACGAGATGATAGTTCAAGAGTTGTAGGGAAGGGTTCATCTGATTCATCTATCCATTGTCATTATCACTGTTTTAAATATCGGCCGATAATAGGTATTATCGGCCGAGTTATCGGATTTGGGAGCTCTCCGCTAGGATAAATTGAATTTTTAATCGGTTATCGTTTTTGTAGGTTTATCGACGATTTATCGGCGTTATCGGCCGATAAGTAAGACCTTTTTATCGGGTTTATCGGCCCATTTTGACTAACATTATATTTTTTTAAAGGCTATGATGCAAGTATCGCTTTCTACAATTTGTTAGTGATTCTAAACATGATGATTTACATTTTGGTATGTTTATATTTTATTAAGCATGATTAGATTATATTTTTTAATTGTTATATTATATATACACACCATCCAGTATATCACTCCGATAAATACTACTTATCCCCGATATATCCCCGATTTCCGCTATCCGATAAGGATTTTGACCGTCCGATAAATACCCGATAACCGATATTTAAAACCTTGGTCATTATTGTAAGGAGTAAGGTCACATAAAATTTCATTGTCCTTAGCTACATGAAAAATAACCTTAGAAGGCACATGTGGCTACACAATAGAGTCCCATAGATGATGACATTCGCCACCAGTTTGAACAATTTCAGCTCCAGTTATTCTAGCAATTTAAGAAGACAATCCTCTCTTGCTATAGCTATACTTGCCTAGTCAAGTAAATCCACTAATCGCCTTACATCGTCACCGTCTTACACTTGGGTTATCAATTCAGTGGCAACTTATCATATGACTGAAAACCAATGTATATTATCCTCTTGCACACCTACTACTTTTTTTCTTCACTAGTATTAGCTGATGAATCCACTACTCGTATGAAAGGTGTTGGATCTACCAACATTAGTACTATTCCACTTTCATCTGTGCTATATCTTTCTCATTTTTATTTAGTCTCTTATCTGTCAATAGAATTACTAAAGCATTAAACTACATGCTAGCATTTTTTTCCTACACACTTTATTTTTCAAGCACTTAAGAGGAAGACAATGTCACTGGATGTGAGTAGATGTGAGCGGAATGGCTTGTATGAGTTGAACTTGCCCCAACCCAGGTGGCCTATATATCAGCTCCACATCAGCCTTTGATGCACAATGTCAATTTGTCATCCACTTTCGATTCTTAAAACTTTGGTTTCCATTTTGAATCATGTCGAATCCTTAGATTGTGAGAAATGTCAACTCGCAAAAAACAGTGTCTTGCCTGAGCCGCGTCAACAAGTGGGTTAGTAACCCGTTTTGAGTTAGTGGATTTAGACGTATGAGGCCTTGTTCTGTTCCATCTAAACTCGGTTTCTATTATTTTGCTGGTTTTGTGGATAAC